TGATCATGTTTGGTGCAGGAATCCCAGTATTGGCGAAGAGATTCAATTGCATTGGCGAATTGGTGCAAGAAGGTCAGAATGGACAATTGTTCGAAACGGCGACAGACCTCTTCCAACAGCTCTACACTCTTGCCACCGGGTTTCCTACACACTGCAAGGTATTACTCAAGCACTTGTCAATGAGTGCCAATTGTTATTAAAGTTGTAATTAGTTGCAGATTTATTAAGAACTGCCTTGATAATAAGTCTGATGTTATCTGATTCAGAAACTCCACGACCTGAAGCAGTTCGTTCTTGACGATAGCCTGCCATCGTGGGAGGAGAACTGGGCTACAGTAGCTAAGCCAATTCTGGCGCCAAATCTTGACCCACATTTCGAAAGGGTAATGGCAAGGTAAGTTCGGCTCTAAGTAATGCCTACATCAGTTTATGGCTAGGAATAGCAACTAAGGATTTTATCAACTATATAGACTGTTTCTCAAGAATTCCGAGTCATGAACAAATCTTTCGTCCCAGGCGGTGCTTGAACCCGCATCTTTCACTTAACGGGCAAGCGTGTCACAAGTTACTTTTTTAAGTGTGTTTCATATTTGTTCCTATCGGGTTGCGGTAAAAGTTCGGACGGTACTGTAATCGTAATGGTCTTTCTCTGAGCGATACCGACGTTTTTTAGGGAGCCAGCGGAATAGCGTGAAGCCGGACCTGGTCGTCGTTGAAGTCGTGAAGCTCTTGGACTCTACGAGACGAGTTGTTATTTGTGATTGCATAGCTTTAAATTTTGTTAATTTTACTATAATTTTTGTATCGTGTTTGGACATTCCTTAGCGATTCGTGTGATGTTTATTGAATTTGTGATGCTGGGCCAACAGTTGCCAACTTCTAATTCATACTTTCTCTTAATAAACTGACTCTTGGTAGAAATGGATGGCAAAGTTCACTTTTGAGTTTCTTCTCAGTTCCGAGCTACCGTGCACTGGAGACAGTGACGACACAACCACAGTACTGGACTCGTGTCGATGCCGTCAGCCCTTCTTGCATAGGCCGATGTCAGACTTTGCGAATCGCGCGATTCGCTAGCGTCCGCGGTCGCGTTGCGGTACCAGCCAATTGAGTGATTCACTGGCCGCGACGCGACCGCAGACGCTAGCGAATCGCGCGATTCGCAAAGTCTGACATCGGCCTTAGGAGGACGAATTAAAAGGTCGATTGTTCTCTCTGCATTCGCCCTGTATTTCCTTCTGTTCAGCATGACAAAGTTACTATTGCCTCGTCTTCAAATAGAAGGGTGAAGCAATGGAGTGCCCGCTCCATGCAACCGCGGGTATGAAATAATTGGGGTAGATCACGCGCATACTCAAAACTGTGCGAACGGCTGGACAACTTGCGCTCGTAGGGAGCTTGATCCATCTCCCATGAACAGTTTCAGGTTCGATACCTGGAAGGCCCACGCGGATGCGCTCATTAGATAAGTTGCATGGAGAAGGTGTTGAGCAGAAGCGGCCAATTCTGCTACCTTAGCCCTGGGGTCCTCGATTTGGGAGGAGTCATGTCTGACCATTCTACACAACCAGACCTTACAAGGGAGGTCTTTCAGGGCAAGGTGCGCTTTTTGGAAACGGTTTAGTACATGTTGTAGGGACGCATGTATGGACCACAAAACCATGTTTCGTTTTCGCTGAACGGTTTTAGTAGTACCAAAAAAGTGGTGAATAATACTCTTGATGGTTCAATCCCCGCGGCGACTAAATTTTGCAATCAAGGTTGGCGGCCACTTGTTGGCTTCAAAATGGTCCTGACGATGAATTTGACATCTGATTTTGATATTTAGCGCGATTTGGCACCAAACCGTAGGCGCCAACCCAAATGCAAAATTTAGTCGCCACGGGGGATCGAACCCTTAACAGTACCTTATGCTTCTTTTTTTGGTACTGCTATAACCGTTCAGCGAAAATGAAACATGGTTTTGCGTTCCCTACATGCGTCCCTACAATATGCACAAAACCGTTTTGAAAAAGCGCACCTTGCCCTGAAAGACCTCCCTTGTTAGAGGCGCTCTATTCACCATTGAAGCCCTTTCACCTACTAGTGAGGCTGACCGCAACAGTCAAAGGCACTGATAGCGATCGAATTGGTGTTTTTATTGTCTTGAGAAGGAACAGGAGGGTTTGAGGATTGTTATTGAGAGAAAAAGTATCATAGAACACGTTGGAATCAAGAGCTCCTTCTTCTTATGAGGTCGTCAGTGGTACGACGGAGAGACATAGCACGGCGAGGAGAG